AGTGAGTAGGAAGATACTAACCATGAATGAAATCAGGATCATGGAGAGTAATAGGAGTCCCAGGATCGTGAATTACTTAGCCAGGTGAGTGGTCACGGTCCTATCCCTTGAATGTTTCTTTACATACTACAAGCATGAGAGCTTAAAAACCCACTTTGGTCAGTGGCAGGAAATAGAGTTGTTAATGATTATTTCTCTACTTATCTCCAATGGATGGGAAGAGACTGCATTTTGTCTGCATGAATCCACCCTGGCAAATGCAGACTGAAAATTGTTCAAAAACCTGCATCAGCCCTATCTTAAGAATTCAATACCTTCTAAGTTCATTGCCTCCACAGTTCTTTGGGCTTGAGTTTTTCAAGTTTCTTAAATGCTGATGAACCATCCAAGAGAGGATTGCCCTTGCATTGTTGCCCCTCTTTTCCATTGCTGTGCATGCCAGGAAGACTAGGTGCTTATTTCCAGAAATGCCATGCGTGACAGGTTTTTTATCTGGGCTCTTCCTAAACTGCCTTTCTCCTTGAGACAGCACAGACTGCAAACACTGCACAGCCTAGAGGCAATGTCTATGCCTTTACTTCTGCCCTTGTCTCCAAGGGACCCAGAAACAAGACTCAAGCAAAAAACCAACCTAGCCGTGCATGTTCACCTGCATGGCCTTGTTTCCTTTTTTCAGCTACCTTGTGCATGAGGAACTCTGGCTGGTGATGGAGTACATGGACGGAGGCACTCTGAGAGATCTCATCGACGAGATTCAAATGTCTGAAGGAGAGATTGCAGCTGTCAGTCGGGAGGTCAGGGATCCCATCTGTGCTTCCAAGGCCTTGAGCTGCATTGTCTGGGAAACAGGGGCTCAGAACGGGAGGGATTTCATGGGCCAAGCTTGGTTTCTGTGTTGCTGCTAGGCTATGGGCAAGCAAGAGCATCTCAAGTGAACTGTCTGCCAGTGCCCCTACACTCACTGGACTCACTTCCTGTACTCTTATCCCCTGCTCTTGTATTCTAGCTCTGTCTCTTGCATTGGCATTTGCACTTCTCCACCTTGCCTAGCTAAACTTTGGCCTGTCTGCACTACATTCCTTGGCTCTAAAGCAAAGGTGTGCTGGCAGGATTTGAAACCAACAGGAAAGAAAAAAAGAGAGACTAATTTCTTTTAGTCCTCAGCTGAAAAGGATAGTAGTGCAGCCCAAAGGAACTGTCTGCCAGTGCCCCTACACTCCCTGGACTCACTTCCTGTACTCTTATCCCCTGCTCTTGTATTCTATCTCTGTCTCTTGCATTGGCATTTGCAGTTCTCCACTGAGAAAGGTGCTGCTCTGCTCCTGTGGGAGCAGCAGGCTCTTGCTCTCAATGGCGCTGTGTTCTGCCATTCCTCCCCATTCCCCTGCAAAGGGAACCTTCCACAGCTGTTTCCTTTCTTGTGGGATGAACTCACAGCACTACTTTTTGCCCCCCTGGTTCTGTTTTCTCTCTCAGTGCCTGCAAGGACTGGATTTTCTTCACTCCAACCACGTGATCCATCGAGATGTCAAGAGCAACAACATCCTTCTCAGAACCGACGGCTCTGTCAAGCTGGGTCAGTGTATTCTTGCTCAGCTTCAGCCTTCCAGGAATGGGGGGTGTGGGGCTGCTTTCAGTGACTGCCAGCTCCCCAAAAATGCTGCTGCTGGCAGTGCAGGGGTCCCCCCTGCTGTGGGCTGAAGGCACAGTTGCAGGGTGCACACAGCTATGACAAGGAGCCACAAGCAGCCCAGAGTGCTATTGCTCTGTGTGTGTCTGTGTGTGTTCCTTCCAGAGGGAGGGAGCTGCAATCTAAACCTTCAGGGGAACAAAAGGCACTGCTGGAGGAAGTGTAAAAAATGGGGGGATGTTTGAAGTAGCCAATTCATATTTCCTTGGCTAAAGCCCTAAGGAAAGAGAGCAGGGAGTGTTGTCCAGGAAATTCAACTGCACATTCTCAAACTTCCACTGGGGAATTCTCTGGCTTGGTTTCCTAATTGAGAGTATGAAAATTAAAAGAGTATTTTGCTTTCTCCTCAGCTGATTTTGGCCTTTCTGCTCAGCTCACCCCTGAGCAAAATCAGCGGTGCTCGGTGACCGGGACTCCTTGGTGGATGGCACCTGAAGTGGTGAAGCGTCAACCATATGGCCCCAAAGTGGACGTGTGGTCTTTTGGAATTGTGGCAATTGAAATGGCCGAACAAAAAACTCCTTATGACAGTTTCACTGCTCGATCGGTAAGGAGCAAATACTCTCTGATCCCGCTGTCTTTCTCACCTGTCCCGTGTTCTCTGCTCACTGCACAAAATCCCATGGCCATCTGCTGGAAGTACTTCCACCAAGGCCCCTTCTACAAATGGCCCTGCAGCACATCAGCATCTGCTGGAGCTTTGGTTGCAGCACTGGGGGAACTCAAGCCTTACCTCGCCCAAACCATCTCCATTCTCAGGCAGCATTTTGCTTTGCCTTAGAAGTCGTTCCAGCTCTTTTGGCTGTGTAGATGGCCCCAAGAATAGGAAACAAGCATCTCAGAGCTGCTGTTATCTTTCCAGAAATGAAGCAAAGAAACTCAAACCAAACCAAGTTTCAAAAACAGTGCTTTTGAGAGAAGAAGTGCAGCCCCATTCTTCTCACAGGGAAACTTGCCTGAAACCTGGAGATGAGGCTGTAAAGCCAGAGTCTCTTCTGCTTCTTGTGCAGTGCTGCTGAGACACTCAGTGACCACCTTCTTTCCTAACCCAAGCCACTTTCTCCATATCACCAAGCTGGAGCCTGGTGACGAGGAGAGCCTGCCAAAACCTCCTGTTTGTTTCCTGGCACTTTCTGGGATGGGCACAGCGTTAATGCATTGACTTGAGAATCCAACGAGCACAGGCTTACCACAGGGATGACACTTCTGATTTCACCATGAATATTTTCCTTTTGCCACGTAAGGGAACCTGAAATTTTCAGAGTGCTGAGAGACAGAGCTGCAGGTGGCTCCTGTGTGCCCAAACAGGCATTTTCAACCCAATACATTTGTGGAGGCATCTTAATGTGTCTGTGTTGAAAATGAGATTCCAAAGGTTTGTTTCCTTCCCTGAGGAACACCTGCTGCATTTCCTTTCTTTTCTTCCAATTACCATCATTTTCAAGAACAGGACAAAAAGCTGGATGAGTTTTGTTTTATGGCAGCTGTGCTTAAGGGACCAACAAGCACTGCAGAGATTCTTTTCATGTAAGAATCCTTGGAATAGTACAGTTAGTTAGAATAGCAAAATCCCTCTTCCAAAAAGGCTGCCAAGCTGCTGGGAATCCTCCGAGAAGGAAACACGTATTTGCTGATGTAGTTGCCACTAACTAGAGCAGGCAATGAAATCAGCTGCCAAGGCAAGATCTGCTGGATGTTGGCAAAGCTGTGGCTTTGGGGCTTGGGTTTTTTCATGATACAGGAAAGTCGTCATCCAAATGCTACAGGAAAGTCATGTCTGCCTCTCTGCCAGGGCAAAAACTGCCACTGCAGAGTGGAGCTGAAAGAATGGGCTCTGGGAGAGCAGTTCCAGATGGGAAAGAAGCAGGTGGAGCCTTGTGTTTCCTTTTTCTCCAGGCTAAATTCCACATAGCCACAGAAGGGACCCCACAGCTGCGGCAGCCCGAGCAATTCTCGCCTTTGCTGCGTGACTTCCTGAGCTGCTGCCTGCAGAAAGGCGAGGCGCAGCGCTGGTCTGCCAAGGAGCTGCTGCAGGTAAAATGCCAAAAGGGCTGCAGGTGAAACAGGGATGGGCTCCTCCTCCACTGAAATCCAAGGCATCAGATGAGCCCCCATCCTCCTCCCTTCCAACCTTGGTGCTGTTCAGCTGACAGTGGGGAGCAATCCTAGACTGGGCTGGGCTGGCAGGGAGTGCTGGGTTTTAGCGCTGGCTAAAATCACCAGGGCACTTACTCATTTCTTGCTGGGAGCTCTGGATTAGGAGAAGGGCAAAACAGGCTTCAAACTTCAAAGGAATAACAAATTTTATTATCAGGCCCACAAGAATAAGAAAGGTCTCATCTGTGCAGTGAAAGGGTTCAATCTCACCCAGGTCATGGCAGTCACGGTGTTGGATTTCAGGCTGTGCTGGGCCCCTCTCTCTGCCCGGGAGCCGCTGGGAGGGGAGGCTCGGCCTGGAGCCGTCGCTGCACGCCGGGGAGAGGGTTTAGTGTGGGCAAGATGTCAGCAGCCGTGGCCTGGCCCAGCCTGGGGCCGGGGTCCCGCAGCCTCCATCCCCCGCCCGGGAGCCGCTGGGCTCTGGCCCGGCCTCCCCCAGGAGCACAGGCCGTGGGCGAGCAGGGCCGGCCTCACCAGAGCTCCGTTACCTTCGGGCTCCGGAAGCAAAGAGGGCCAGTGCCCGGGCTGGTGGTTTTCAAAATGTGCATCATCACAGAGGCGCATCTCATTTCTAAATGGTGCAAAATGTTGTCAGTTCTCAGAACTAGCCAGCCATTGGCCTGTCTCAGGCACAGAGGAAGCTCCCAGCAGCTTCTCTCAAAGAAATCACTTCCGTGCGGGGTTTCTTACTTCTTTCCCTAAATGTCAATTCATCTCAAACTAACACACAGGGACATGGAAAGGTCATTTAGACTGTGTCCTGCAATGAGCAGGGACATCTTTCAAGAGATCAGGATACTCACACCTCAGATATTTCCAGGGATGGGCCACCTACCAGCTCTTGGGGCAACCTGTGCCACTCTTGCCCCATGCTCCTGACCTACTCTGACTCAATCCCCATTTCATTTAAAAAGTATTCCCCTGCCTTTGAAGCTCTTAGATTGGAAAATCATGCTTTCTTGTTGTTTTCTTTTCCTTTCTGCAGCATCAATTTATAACATCGGCCATGCCTGGGTCCAGCCTGGCACCTCTCATCCTTGCAGTGAAGAAGTGGAAGGAGGAGGCAGGAATGCAACAATCAATTTATAAACTGTCTTCTCCATGACCAACTTAGAGTAGGATTATAGAGTAGGATTGCAGAGTAGGATTGTAGAGTAGGATTATAGAGTAGGATTGTAGTGCAGGATGGTAGTGTAGGTTTGTAGTGTAGGATTGTAGAGTAGGATTTTAAATAAAATTTCTAAAATCTCAACTCCTTTGGAACATTTCTCTCCTTCTTGACCCTGTGAGAAAGCTCAACATTTCCTCCTGAATTGTCAGTTTTTTCTTAGAGGTGGAAAGTGACATTGATGGCTTCTTTGGTACAGTTTGTAAGGGGGGAAGGCTCCTCTTCATTCATCCTCTCCAGACCACACTGCCTTTGGAATATGGCCAACTGGCCAAGTTTTGCCCAGCTCTGACATTTCTATTTGAGGCAGAAACAGCAATGGCATTTGCAGGAAAAACCAAAGGAGGAGCGGTGCAACGCAAACATCCTGTGCAGATGCAGGCTGTGCAGATGTGACTCGAGAGTATTTGGGTTCCTGCCACTTGGATTTGTATCCCTAAGAGAAATCTCTTTGGCTGGAGGAGAGTCTGGCTGAAGAGAGAAAGCAGAAAGAGCAGTGAGGGTGCTGTGCAAGGTCTCCTGTGGTGCAGAGCTGTCAGCGCCTGTGAGGTGAGAGCGGGCCCGGCCTTGGCCAGGCTGGAGCCCCAGCAGAGCCCTGGCAGAGCCCGGAGAAGCCTGAGCCTCGGCACAGGCAGGCTGGAAGGAGGCCCTTGGAGCTGCAAGAGGCAGCAGCCTGGCCCTGGCTGCCTCTTGCTGGCCCCAGGCAAATCCTCCGCTCTCAGAGCCAAGCTGGCAGCTGGCTGCTCCTGAGGGGAAGCGGCGCCGTGCTGGGCACAGCACACACTGGTGCCATGGGCTGTCTGGAGTCTGCACAGGACGAGAGAAAGGCAAAGAGCAGCCCAGGGCTGCTGCCCTGCCTGACCATTGCTGCTCTTCTGCCGCCTGCCCTGGAACTCCTGGCAATGGTCAGCACTGTGTGCAGCACTCTGGGCACAGGGGGAGGGAGCCGGGCTGCTCCGCAGGCTCCAGCACAGGGCAGTGTCCTTCAGGCACGGCATTTCTGCCAGGGGAACCGAGGCCAGCGTGAGGCACTGACAGCAAGTCAGGGCACATCTGCACGAGCCAGTGCCTCACACAGCTCTGGGACCAAGCGCCTGCAATCCTGGAGCTCTGCACTGAGCCACAGCAAAGGTGTGAAATGCAGAGGACTTTGCAGAAATATTCAGGGGCACCAGGCCAGCCTGCTTGGTGCTCTCTGGGGCACAGCAAGCACTGTGCAATGCAGCTCGGAGCTGCTGGCAGAGAGGGACTATGGGCATGTGCCTGAGGCTTGTTCTTGAGTAGTGATTTGGGAGGGAGCAGAAGGGTCTCAGTAGGCAATTGGTGTTTTCTTCATGAATTGCTGAATGAAAGACACAATGTGGCCTCACGCAGCAAGAGCACTTGCAGAATTTATTGACTATAAGTTTGTGTTGAATTCCCATAAAAGGGAAGTGTTGAAGTGTAACAAAAAGGCCTTTTGAATTCAGTTAGCCCCTGAGCCTTCATCCAAAACAACCACCAGGAGGCTGACAACTACGTCATGCAGAGCCCTGCTGCAAGGGCTTCCATAATCACAGAATTAGAAAATATGAAGCTTAGGAAAGTAGAATGTGCCCATCAAGTTATAAAAGTTTAAAAACTCGTCCTGTTGTGATAAACGGGCCAGGAGACCAGCTCCTTTTAAAAAGGCCTTTATTAAGCAGCACAGCCCTGGGGTGGGGGCCCGAGGGGTCGTGCACACCGCCACTGCTCCCACTGGACACCGCAGAAGAGGAGGATTCCTGCAGCTCTGTCACTAGGGCAGAGCTGGGCCTTCCTTCCTCACGGGTGTCCCCGGGAAGACTCGTTCTTTAGGGCTCGTAGTCTAGGCTGTCATCCGAGTCGAGTCTCCTCGAGGTTATGTCGGCCTCTGGAAAGAAGTCAGGGGACTCCTCTGGGTCTTCCTTGTTAGATGGTGCTGGTTCTATTCCTTCCCTTTTGCGTGGCTCGTTGTTTTGGGGTCTTTTCCAGTCTGGGTGCATCCCATAAGTCTCTGGTCTCTCTCGTTTGCATAAAAGTCAGTATGTCATCTTCCTCCTCAGAGCGGTACAGCAACTCGGGAAAGGGATACAATGTTGCCATGTGGGAGTCTCGGAGCAGTGGGGGCAGTGCCTGGCTGAACACAGAACAAGAAACACAGGGTACAGCAACTTGGGAGAGGGGGCAGGGCCTGGCTGAACAAGGAACAAAAATATGGGGTACAGCAATTTGCGACAGGGGTACAAGGGTAAGTAAACCTGGGACAGAGGTACAAGGTAAGTAAGGAGTTTACAAACAGCAACTGTAACATATTATTCTTAACAATATCCTGGGACAGGGGTACAAGGTAAGTAAGGAGTTTACAAACAGCAACTGTAACATATTATTCTTAACACTGTGCAAAAAATGGACAAGTGAGTTTGTGGTGGAGCTTTCTCCCTCACTCCTGGCATTGAATAAAAAAATCCCTGCTCTGTAGGCCCTACACTATGGAGTACTGTTTTCTTGATTACGTTTTGCTCATCGTAATCACACTATGCTTTTCATTTTCTTCTTAGAACCTTCTAAGCATGAAGTGAGTAAGACAGTGAGTTGTGTATTGATAGGGCCGAAGAAACATTTCCAAATGCCATCCTGGGAAAGGAAAGGACGCGAAACAGCGCTGGGGAAGAGCGTCCCTCACACAGCCCTCAGAGCTGCCAACATGCACAAGATGGCGGCCGGGGCTGAGGCTGTGCCACCGTGCACAAGATGGCGGCCGGGGCTGAGGCTGTGCCACCGTGCACAAGATGGCGGCCGGGGCTGAGGCTGTGCCACCGTGCATAAGATGGCGGCCGGGGCTGAGGCTGTGCCACCGTGCACAAGATGGCGGCCGGGGCTGAGGCTGTGCCACCGTGCACAAGATGCCGGCCGGGGCTGAGGCTGTGCCACCATGCACAAGATGGCGGCTGGGGCTGAGGCTGTGCCACCATGCACAAGATGCCGGCCGGGGCTGAGGCTGTGCCTCTCAGAGCGCTCTGCAGCCTCTGCCAGCCCAGCCCCAGCCCCGGAGCAGCGCAGGGCGGGCAGAGCCCCCTTCCAGCCGTCTGCTTCAATGGACATTGACAGACACCCGGGCCACGCATACAGGCTGACACCTTTGCTCTGTGCACACAAACACGTACCACACACTTGGGAACCTCGGCTGGCAGCATTTTCAGGTGAAAATACAAAGAAACTCCAGGGTTTGAAGGTTTTCAAATAGAATATTTCATTTGCCAATAAAAGGATCAAAAGCAGAAAGGGCCATCCCAGCCTGTTTCTTCCATGCAGGAATAGTGTCACAGTGACTGTGAGCTGATGAAGACGGAGATGGGATTTAATCCAAAGCAGATTGTGCAGTGGGTGCTCACCTGTGATATGTATCCCTCACAGTACCTATTTATTTGGAACACTAGGAAGATTATGAGGCTGGGCAAGATATTAACCCTTTCAATACAGGGATGAGACCTACAAACCTTGTTCATCTCTCCAGGGACAGAAAAGGACAGAGTAATAACACACAAAAAAAACAACAAAAAAACATCAAAGTCAGTAAAAAAAGAAGTCAAACATTAGATAGAAAAGTAATGAAAAAATGGTAATTGAAACAAAAATATTCTTATAGTAAAGCCATAGAAATAAACAATGATATACAAAATAACTCCTTTAATTAATGAAAAAAGTATAAAAATATATTAAAACTGTAAATCTAAACAAAAGCATCCATTAAAGAAAGCAAACACATGTTAAAGTAACTGTTATCCCATAAAAGTTTGAACAGAAAAACAAATAAAAACAATAAAATGCCCTTTGCCCCCAGGGAGAGAAGAAAACTTCTGTTTCCAACGATGATCACAAAAACAAATGAAGAGAATCTTTGCCTTCAAACAACTCATCCTTAAAATAAAACCCCATGAATTCATAATCCATTGACACACCTCTAGGAGGGCTGTAAAAATCAGGAAAATGTCACGATAGAAAAATTTCTTCCCAGGCGGCTGCTATTTGTAAAAATGAAAAAGCACAAAAAAATCCATTCCTTGTAAAAAAGCCTCCATGACATAACAGGAAAAAACTTCTCTCCCTACAAAAACTAATACAAAACTACTGTGTAATTAATACTGTGTTAACATCCCAAGTTCTATCTCTACAGTGTCAGGAAAAAAAAAAAGGAGAGGAAAGGCGTTCTGAAAGTTCTATTAGAGTTTCTCATTCTTGTAGTCCTGTTAATAAAGTTCCTTTATTCCTTCTAAGGTTTAAGCCTATTTTGCCCTTCTCCTAATCCATATCTCACAGTGA